AACTCTATTTTGTTGAGCTAAGATCATCTCCATCTCCCCCTCGATATGCCTGTTCTTCACCATGAAGTTGGTCATCCTGTAGAATGATGAACCACTCATTTCTTCACACCATTGAGCGCAACTTCTGCACAAATGGAAGAGCTTCGACTCTTCCAGATCCTACAGATTTGTCTTTTGAGAACTTGAAGTGGAACTAGGTAAATTGGGCAGTTGCTTCTTTTTCCCCTCGCAATTTATTCAATAATCTTCTAGTGATCAAATATTCACAATAAGTTTAAATCATCACTATCTTCTCTGGTAAATTGACTATCTACTTTTCTTTCCCTTTGAGCTGTAATACGCTATGTTGTAATAGTAGTGTACAAGGAGTTCTCAAATCAATTGTTACACTAAAGTTATCCATTATTTTTTGTCTGCCAAGTGGGCTGGGGATGGTTGTTCGATAAGTAAGCAAGGAATGCATTGCTTGCTCATAATAAATTCAGATATTCAGCTGCATGTTGCTAAAGTCTGGGACGAGGAAGTGTATAATAGGACAGAAGATCTTCAGGATAGGCACCATGCATTCCTTTGTCCTGTGAGAGAGATGTTCAGTTAAATAATTAACGATTCTTCTCTTCAAACTCTTGGTTTCAGACATTCATTTATCTACAATAATGCTTCTTATCTGCTGCTAATCTGGAACATTTCTTTTGTAGTTTATTCACTTGTACTGTGTTGTGATTTTCTTCAATAGGTGACAGTTCCAGGAGGAAGGAATAGGGATAGGAAGAACGATTTGCTGGTCATTCGAGATAATGGAAACTCCTTCGAGATAATTCACTCGGTGATTACTCAAAATACTACTCTTTTCTTTCATTATTTATATTTTGACTTTTAAGCGTATTAGCAGATTCATTTTTGTTATTATTTCTATAGGGTGAAAGAGACTACCCGACCACTGTGATAGAGGAGTAGTGGAACAAAACAAGACAAGAGATGGAGAACTATCTTAGGAAATTAAGAGATTTCAGTGTTTCAAATAGGTTCTAATTGGATTATGCTACGGGTTAGAATATTTCCCTTTTTTTTTGAACTGTATTGAATTTTTTGATGCTTCAGAATTTTGTATGAATATCATTACATTTTGGAGTGCAATTAATAATGATTATTGGAGTTATTTGATATTGTCATCTTCTATCTTATTTTGTGGTTGATTTGTGCAAATTACTATACAAATAAGAAAAATGTAAAATAAAATAAAAACAGTTGTAAAATGACATATGGCAACGGTCAAAAAATGTTGCAAAAAATAAATATATAAGCATAAACAACAACCAAAAAACGTAGCAAAAGGTTATTAACAACCTTAAAAAAATGTAGCGAAAAAAGTTATTAGCAACGCTCAAAAAACGTTGCAAGCAAAAAAGTTATTCGCAACGTTCAAAAAACGTTTGCAAAAAGTTTATGGCAACACTCAAAAAACGTGCAAAAGGTTAATGTTGCCGTATCCTTCTACTCTACGATAACATCGAGATTTGCAACTTACTAAAAAACGTTGCAAAAGATTTTCGGCAACGTTTTTTGAACTTTGCAAAAGACTGTTTTTGTTGTAGTGTGTGCACAACACCACACTTAACAATCTCCACATTCGTACTAAGAATTGGGCTCACAGTGCAACCAAGAGCATCACCAACAATTTCTATTTCACTTCACTTTGTACCTATACAATTAATTCAAAGAATCAATAAATAATAACTTCAAGTAATTGTTAAATTTACTTAAAAGGTATTAATTTACTTCAGGAATTTATACTTGCTGGAATAACATGCTACAGTCTAAATTAACAACTCCATCTTTCTTTCATGAAATTATGCCATGGTATGTTGGAATAATGTGCTAATTTTCCATGGACTTCGATGGGCTAACCCCGAGAATAGTCTATGTGCATGTGTGCACTTTGACAGAGTGATCAAATCCATCCAAGGTTGTTGAATTACGCCCTTTTCTTGGATTAGCAAACTATTATCAGCGTTTTATTCAAAGCTACTCCAAGAAAGTGAATGCCTTGACAGATTTGCTGAAAAAGGATCAGAAATGGGAATTGACGAATGATTGCCAACGAGCTTTCAAGAAGTTGAAACAGGTTGTTTCTATTAAGTCGATGATGCAATTGCCTAACTTTGAGAAGCCATTTGAAGTGCACACTGATGCTTCTGACCATGCTATTGGAGGTGTATTGGTACAAGATGTACATCTGATTGCTTATGAATGTCAAAAATTGAAAGATGCGGAGCAACGTTACTCAACTCATGAAAAAGAGATAACGATGTTGTTCATTGTCTTCAAACTAGGCGCCATCGTTTGTTAAGGATGAAATTCACTGTCGTAAGAAATAATGTAGCCAACACATATTTTAAGTCCCAAAAAAAGTTGTCGGCGAAATAAGTTAGATGGCAGGAGTTTTTCGCTAAGTTTGATTTCGTGTAGGTTAATAAACAAGGCAAGCAAAATCAAGTTGCCGATGCACTTAGTCGAAAATCCATTGAAACTTATGTTTCTGCCCTGATGACAGTTGAATATAATTTTCTTGATAGAATTAAACAGAGGGCCTAGTTGTTATGGAAAATTAAAGATGGCTTGGTATGACGGTATTAGGTTGAAGATGGTTTGAAATATGCTAAAGGCAACAAACTGTATGTGCCTTCAGATGGAGGCCTGAGGTAAGAATTATTGAAGGAAAATCATGATCCACAATGGGGCAGGCCATCAGGGCATCGAATGGATGTTGGCTTTGCTCTTGAAATCGTATTACTGGCTAAAAATGGGTGACGAGGTAAAGGCATATGTGAAATCTTATTTGGTGTGCCAACAGGATAAAAACAAAAGGAGGAAAGATGTAGGTTTCCTCCAGCCATTGCCAGGTCTAGAACGGCCTTGGTAGTCAATTTCTATGTTTATAACTCAAGTTTTCCGAAGATCGATGGTAGTTGCTTTTCGGTTTGCACAAGATAAACAGAAGATGATTGAGTAAGCTAAAGACAGCCTTACGAAGGCTGCCAATGGATGAAAAAGTATGCTGATAAGAGCAAGAGGGGTGTTGAGTTTCAGATTGGGGATAAGATGATGTTGAAATTAACTCCCCATATTTGGAAGAAAATTAGTAGCAAGACAATGCATCGTAGGCTGGTTCAAATGTATGATGGTCCCTTCGAAGTAATTAAACATGTTGGAAAGGTAGCATATTGGTTGAAGCTGCCTAATCGTTTGAAGGTTCATCCTACCTTCCACGTAAGTTATCTGAAGCCTTTTAATGAAAGTTTGATGAGTGAAGATCGGTTGCAGGCTAATAGGGTCCTCCAATGATTAGAAAATAGTATAGTAAGGAAGTGACAAAGATTTTGGATCGTCGAACAATATGTGCGAGCAAGAAAAATAGGATATATTGCCTTGTCCAATGGGAAGGTGATAGTGGGATTGATGCAATTATGAAAAGGATGTCGATTTGTGACGGTTTGAGGATAAGTTCAAAAAGTATCTTGATACTATTCCAACAAGGATGTTGGACTCTTCTGGTGGGGAAGGTTTTTAGACCCATGAAGGTTGACGCAATCGCATGGGCACGCTTTGCCCTCATGTTGGAGTTTTACAGACATCTGTGTTGATGGTACACATTTTAGATCTCAGAAGAAAGGCAAATGTGGGATTTAGCTTGTGGATGTGCTGGTTCAGTTTGGCAGGCATCAAGGTGTTGCGGGTTAGTAGAATTTAACAAGGCAAGATGGATCTAGCTTGCTTTTCAGTGTACTCTAGTCCACAAATACGGGTATCCATGAAAAGTACATGTTTGACACATGTGCTAGGCTGTTTTCTTGGTTTATATATGTGGAAAGTATGGGCAGTTGCTGGGAAATGGCATAAGAAGTAATTTTCTGGTAGTTTTGGCCATAATGGGTTAGATGTTAACTGCATTTGAATTTTGGTTATATATTTGAAGGTTTTGGCTACTGAGACACAATTTTTTTTTGTTCTTCAGTGTTTCCTTTAAGTTCTTGTATTATTGTGGAGTAAAAAAATGAGTTGGGTGTTTACTTGTAAATATTCGTGTGCCTTTACATTACTACCTTTATTGTGTGGAATTCATTCGTTTTGTGCAATGTGCAAATTCATGGATTGACTGAATGAAACATCAGTGCCATCATAGCTGAAAATTTGGCTAAAGATTAAAAA